GGCAGCGAGCGGCGGGGGGCGGCGGACATGGCCCTGATCACAAGCTTGGCCTACGGATTCCACACATGCACGATTTTGTGTGCTGGAGATTGGGGTAACTGGTAATGGGGGGGTACAAGGCAAAGATGGGCAAAATATTCAGAAAATTTAATGCCTGTGAAGGTTTAGAGAACACAGGTTGAAGGTGGAGAGTGGGTTGTAAATGGAGTCCTGGGGACACTTACTCTTCCAGACAGACATAATGAGTGGGTCATAATGGACACAAAGAGATGAAGAGGGTGGAGGACAATGAAGGGAGCCAAGGAGGATAGTGCGTACCATGGGCATAACAGGCCCAGGAGAAAATCAGAGATTTTAGAAATTGGGGCAATGACTTCAGAGTTATGAGGAGGCTGTGGACAACTGATAACATAATGAGTGCATCTGAGGATGGGAGAATCTCAGACAAAGAGTTATAAGATAGGGGAGAAATTCAATGTGATATAATAGAAGATAATTCACATTATAAATTTGTAAGATTTCTAGTTTGTTAGAAAATTATAATATATTTCTAAATTACCCATTTTAATACATTATTTACCTTTTCTTCTGAAGATATGAGTATATATACACATAAACATCTTCCTCATTATTCCTCTTACTCCTAAATTATATTTTTATGTTACTATATTTACATATTGCATTCAGTATAAAGCAAAACCAAGTATATCTATTTTTTATGTAGTCTCAGAAAAAGGACATGGGATATATATACATATGTATATTATAAACTAGAGGCCCGGTGCACAAGATTCGTACACTTGGGGTAGGGGGTGTCCCTCAGCCTGGTCTGCACCCTTTCACAATCTGGGAGCCCTCAGGGGATGTCCAACTGACAGCTTAGGCCCGCTCCCCAGGGACATCCTAAGAGCTGCCGCGGAAGCAGGAGAGGCTCCCGCTACTGCCGCTGCACTCACCAGCAGTGAGCCTGGCTTCTGGGCTTCTGGCTGAGCGGTGCTCCCCCTGTGAAGCACACTGACCACCACAGGCAGCTCCTGAGTTGAGCGTCTGGCCCCTGGTGGTCAGTGCGCGTCATAGAGATGGGTTGTTCCACCGTCCATCGATTTGCATATTACCCTTTTATTATATAGGATATGATAAAATATTATGAAGATGTAAAAATTTAAAAAATAGGGCTTCTAATCAGACTTTTTAAGATTTTGTTCAATTAGCATTTGTAAGGAAAGCCCACTGGTACTGGATGGTATCCAGCAGTTACTCAAAATTCTACAGAAAAATTGGAAATAAAAGTTTATAACTCACAAGCATGGAGGAAGTACACAGCACGCCTGCAGGGGCTAACACAGGCAGGACAAGACAGGATGCAGGAAGAGAGTGGCAGTACACACAGACTGTAGGCCTGTATTAGGATCACTATGTGGAGTGCCATGGGGTTCTTGAGCTAGGTCCAGATTGTTCAACTCAAAGCATAATCAGCAAGGTTTGGCTAGCTCTTCAGAAACCTTACGTAAGGGGCATACAAATTGAAGGCTCTGGGGTGCACAAAAGACTACTGTTCACAGGGACTGCTGGAGAAATCATATCAAAAACTTACATTCATTTCTGACACTATAAGCTGGTGTCTGTATGCACTAGGGATTCATGGGAGTTCAGTTCTTTACTTAGCTACACAAAATAAATGATAATGCTGAAACACCACAGACTTTTACATAAACTCACAAGAATATTCCCACTACATATTTTTTGTAACCATCATAATTTCCCAGCAGGTACAATGAATAAAAAAATAAATTATGGGTAAACTCTTCACACATTATTTAAGGTTTAAGGCCTGTGAGTAAATGTCACTCCACTGCATTACAAATTGTTACCCACAATAGTGAATAAGGTGGGAAACATTAACACTGATGGCATGTCAACACCTCATTCATTACACATCACTGTTAACATATTTCAATTACTTCATCTTTATTAACGAACATATTAAGTCCACACATAGTCTAAACAAAGTACTGCAAGCACAATGTATTGCCTAGGGATGAAATAGACATTACAAGCATTCAAAGATCATGAAATGAATTGAGATATAAATCACATGAACACTTTTGTTTAAAAAAAGCCACAAACTTTTATAACTGTTGTAACACAAAAGGATTCAGTGGAGACAATTACATTTGTCCTAATATTCATCTCCTTGGTATTTTGATTTATACTAAAAAATCACATAACTTTCCTTAATAGATTCTCTAAAATAAGTATTCTGATTTAAAGTCATATTTGAAAAGTGTTACTGACCACTTTCTACTGTGAATTCGCTGATATTATACATTTAATTTTATTAAAGTTACTTTCAAGCACAAATGCTATGGGGTTTTCTGAAGTATGTATTTTGAGGAAATATTTTTTATCATTTATTTCAAAGGTAGAATTTCTCATGAGTATGCATTCTCTGATATGCAGAAAGATTGTACGTTCAGGTTTAGGGTTTGCACATTCTTTAACATTTTAAGTTTTTCTCCAGTAAGAATACTCATGTGGCAGTTAAGATGTACCTATAAATGCTGAAAACCATCTTTGCTGAACATTTTATGTTTGCATGGCTTCTCTCCACTATAAATTCTCTAAAGCAGCGGTAGTCAACTGTTAGTCCACGGACCACTGGTGGTCCATGAGGTCTGAAAGGTTGGCAACCGCAGCTCTAAAGTACATTGAGGCTTGAGCAATGGTAAAAGGTTTTGCCACATTGTTTATATTTGTATTCTTTCAGTAAAGCATAAATTATGTGATATTGATTAAGGTTTCAACACTGGGTAAAGGTGTTATCAAATTCTCTGCATTGTAAGCCTTCTCTCTGGTATGATATTTAGTGAGGTTTGGGCAATGGTTGGAATTTTATCCATATTCTTTATATTTATACTAGAGGCCGAGTGCACAGAACTTGTGCACTGGAGAGGGGGGGCCTTAAGCCCGACCAGTGCCCTCTCACAGTCCAGGACGCCTTGGGGGATGTCCACCTGCTAGCTTAGGCCTGCTCCACATGGGAAACAGGCCTAAGCCAGCAGTCGGATATCCATCTCACAGTCCAGGAGCCCTTACTGCTTACCACCTGCCTGCTTGCTGCTTCTTACCACTTGGCTCGCTGCTCCTCAATGCTGCTGCAGAGGCAGGAGAGGCTCCCACCACCACCACTGCGCTCACAACCCATGAGCCTGGCTTCTGGCTGAGGAGCGCTCCCCCTGTGGGAGTGCACTGACCACCAGAGGGCAGCTCCTATGTTGAGCATCTGCCCCGTGGTGGTCAGTGAGCATCACAGCAGCCAGTCATTCTGGATGTTCTGCTATAAAGGTTGCTTAGGTTTTTATTACATAGATTGCTTCTATTCTCTATGAATTTCCCGATATTGAGTACAGCTATAGCAAGGTTAAAGGCTTTGTCCCACTCTTCACATTTGTAAATCTTCTCTCAGGTATGCATTCTCATATATTTGGTAAAATTTGAGCAATGGGTAAAGGCTTTGCCACATTCTGTGTTTGTAAGGCTTCTCTATAGCTGAGTACTCTGATGCTATAAATGTTTAAATCTGATGTGAAGGCATTTTGACATCTGCACATTTATAAGGGTTTGTGTCCTGAGTGATTTCTCTGATGTTTACAAAAGGCTGAATACCAGCTAAAGACTTTGCCACATTCTGTACATTTATAGGGTTTCTCTCTAGAATGGATATTCTGATGTTGAGTAAGATGTGAGCCCCGGGTAAAGGCTTTGCCACATTCTCTACATTTATAGGGCTTGTCCCCACAATGAATTTTCTGATGTTTAGCAAGTTGTGAGCTCTCAATAAAGGCTTTGCCACATTCTCTACATGTATAAGGCTTCTCGCCAGAATGAATTCTCTGATGTTGAGTAAGATTTGAGTTCCGGGTAAAAGTTTTGCCACATTCTCTACATTCATAAGGCTTCTCTCCAGTATGAATTCTTTGATGTTTGGAAAAGGCTGAATACCAGCGAAAGGCTTTGCCACATTCTCCACATTTATATGGCTTCTCTCCAGAATGAATATTATGATGTTGAGTAAGATGTGAACCCCGGGTAAAGGCTTTGCCACATTCTCCACATTTATATGGCTTTTCTCCAGAATGAATTTTCTGATGTTTAGTAAGTTGTGAGCCCTGAGTAAAGGCTTTGCCACATTCTCTACATATATAAGGCTTCTCTCCAGAATGAATCCTCTGATGTTGAGTAAGATTTGAGCTCCGGATAAAGGTTTTACCACATTCTCTACATTTATAAGGCTTTAGTCCAGTATGAATTCTCTGATGATGGCTAAGGTTTGAACAGTGGCTAAAAGCTTTGCCACATTCAGTACATTTATAAGGCTTCTCTCCAGAATGAATTATCTGATGTCAACTAAGATGTGAGCTCTGGATAAAAGTTTTGCTTTCCGTCTTCTCTACAGTATGAATAAAAATATTTGAGTTTTTTTCAAAGACTTTAGGCAATTTATACTTGTTCTGTGGAAGCTGAGCTCTTTGATGGTTAATAGAATTTGACCCTTGGTTAAAGTTTTTCTGAGATTCAGCGCATTGGTGACTTCTCTCTTCATTATATGTACTCTGATAATAATTTAAGAGAGAAAAACTTTTAGTGAGGACTCTAATATCATTGCACATGTACAATTGTTCTCAATTACATATTCTGATACCATGATGGTTGTATATATATATATCCTCCCAGAGTTATGAAAATTATAGACTCTGGAAAAAGGAATACTTTCCCATGAAACAGTAATACAAAATTGGTTAAGGTGTTTACAAATTCATTTATAACTTGTATCTTCATTTTTAAAATATCACAGTTTTAGAAATATTTGACTGTTTAATCAAATGCTACATTAAGTCATTCAAAACTTATTAGCAAAATGGAGTAGGTGACTTTTCTGATATTAGAAATTTTACTTCAGAGAATGTGTATTCATTTATTTATATTAATTTTCATGAGGACATATTTTTTGATTTTTAGAGAGAAAGAAAGAGGGGAGGGTGAGAGAGATAAAGAGAAATTGATATGCGAGGGAAATATGGATCAATTACCTCCTGCCTACACCCAGACCAGTGATTGAACCCTAAATCTACATGTCTCCCAACCAGCATTGAACCCACATTTCTAGGTGACACTTCAACCAACTGAGCCACAGCAACCAGAGCAGAGAACATATACTTTTAAAATTTTTTCTTTATTTATTTTTTTGTTCAGAAACACATTGTTCTGCCAATGTAACTAATGTCAAGTAGAGGGTAATTGTCCCACTTTGGCCATATCCATTATGTCTAACAATATTTTTTTTTCTCTTAATAGTCCCTGCACATTACAAAAGTTTCATTCAGTATAAATTCTCAATGCCACATCTGCTATATCTTACCTGTAACATTTTCTGGAATGACACTTCTACACCTGACTTTGGCAATAAACCCTGGGTGACTTGAGAAGATATAGCTGAAATATAACAAATTAATTATAAAACACACGCAGGTAAATATTCTTTAAATTTTAATGTACAGAATTAACACCTGTAAGAAGACTTCAGTGAGATAGAATAGGAAGCACAAAAACTTTCTTCCTCCATGGAAATGTTAACTTACCAACAATTACTGACCCAATTACCTTCTAAAGTACTTCAGAAGCCAGTTCAAAGACCACAATACCCACCAGAAACCACAAAATAAAAAAGTCATGTCAAAGAGGGAAACAAGTTACCTACATTTGCCCACAATACCTGCTCACACTTCTGCCACAGGAATGGGAAAATATCATGGGCTCTAAATAAAAGCAAAATATGTTTTAAACTGGAAAGTTACACAGAACTCACACACGCAGGCTTCTGGTCAAGATGGAGGTGTAGGTAACAGTGGCACTGGCAACCTCCCACAATCACATAAAAAATACAACTATACTACAAGAAAACCATCTTTCAGAACTGACTGAAACCTAACTGAATGAAGATGTAAAACGAAGGACATAAAGAAGGCTTATCCATACTGCTAGGAGGTGCAATGTGACAGAACGGACTGGGCCCACATGGTGGATAAAAATCACCAGTGACATACCGGCTTCACAGGTCGCATCTGAGGAGTAAAGGGTCACAGCCCACAGAAGGCCCTCCAGCCCCGGGTTCCAATCCAAGAAGAGATGTCCCCATTACTCTGGCTGTAAAAACTAGCCAGGATTGTGGCTGAGTGAGACGGAGAGCTGATGGAATCCTAGGCAATTCCTCTTAAAGGGCTCACGCTCTGACCTATTCAGATTCATGCCCTGTGAGCTCCAATGCTGTGGCAGCAGCTCGAATGGCACCAGGGTTGGACCTGAAGGATGAGAGCTGTAGAAGGAGCTTTCTCCCAGACATAAGTCTTGGTAGAAGCCATTGTTCCTTTTCTGAGCCTTTCACCCACAGAGCTGGCAAAAGGAGCCACAGCTGAGTCTCCATCAATTTGGCTCACACTTTTCACCACACCCTGAAGATTTCCTGACACCCCACCCCATCCACATGTGGGACCACCAAAGCTGTTTCCAGTGGCTATTCCATACAAACAGCCTAAACTGGCTTAAGCTTCAGTCTTTACAACAATGTTTCAAACAAGCAGGATCTGGCCCCAGTGTACACCCCGATAACTCTGGCTAAGTGGCCCCAGCATGGAAAGTATGTAATGTCTAATTATTGGGATGTACACCTGAAACTAATATAATATTATATTGGCAACTACAATTGAAAAATTTTTAAAAATGAGTTAAAGACACACACACACACACACACACCAATTACACTTTCCAGAATAGGTGTGACAGGCCTTTAAAAACCTACCACAGCTGATAGTTATTTTTGTTTTCCTGTACAAAGCAAGTTTATAAAGAATGGGATAGCAACTACAGATCACAAGGCTTATGAAGGGAAACAGAAAAACAATCCAACCAGAGGGACAAAATAAATCTCCATGAGTTGGCCCTAGGTTAGTAAACATATGTTAATTACCTGACAAAGATAAGAAGGAAAAAAAAACTTTAAAAGGGCTCAATTGAAAAAAACATAAAAAACTGTTGCCATCAAAATTAGGTATGACAATAATAAAAATGCAAGCAGACAGAAAGTATAAGAAAGAACCAAACAGATACTGGAAACTGAAGAATATAGTTAGTACCTGAATTGAAATATACAATAGAAACATCAGCAAAAGACTTGATCAAGCAAAAGGAAGAATAAGACAACTTGGACACTTACCCACAGTGTTCCTGGAATGTGGGAACCAAATTCCAGTATCTCAACCACTTCCCTCCCATACTTACATGGGGCAGAAAACAGAACATTAAAACTAGTTTAATTTAAAATTCCTCAGCAACGTGCACAGACTTCCCCAAGTTCACCAAGAAATCCAATAGTACCCAGGTCATGCCACCCTTACATTGTTACCGAAGGACTTTGGCTCTCACTGCAAATGTGATGGAAGCAGAAAGAGAATCCTTAGATGATGTTGGATAGTAAGTGTTGGAGAGGATCTGTCCCTTGAAGCCAGAAACAGAAATAAACGTGACCTTCTCGAAAATCAGTTCCATTGAAGCAGATGTTTCCAAACCATTATATAATATCTGATCTTCGGCCTCTCACCTGGATCATCTGTTTCCTTGATTCCCACCTACCTGGCTGGATGGGTATTTTCTTTTTTCTCTTCAACTCCCAGGGCTCCTTCATGTGCTCCAAAAAGGTGAGTAGGTCTGGCTTAGACACACCTGTTTATTAGAAAAAGGAACATGGGCCATAGCCAGTTTGGCTCATTGTGAAGAGTGTCATCCTGCTGGCTGAAGGGGCCCTGGTTTGATTCTGGTCAAGGGAACATGTCTGGGATGCAGGCTCGATCTCCAGTAAGGGATGTGGTGGAGGCAGTCAATCAATTATTCTCTCTTATCACTGATATTTCTACCTCTCTCTCCCTCTCCCTTCCCCTCTGAAATCAAATAAAAATATATTAAAAACAACAACCAAAAACTTACAAAAAAAAAAGAAACATGGATTCAATGGAGAATCTCCAATTTCCAATCCAGCCCTGTGCTCAAGTAAGAAGATAGGACATTGTAGAACACCAGAATATCATAAATAATTATTTTCCAAAATATTATTTTCTGACAGAACCTTTAACTATACTGGAGACAACATTTAAACTTTTCAAATCTTGAGTTCCACTTCCAAATACATCAGGAAGCCTTTTTGTTCTGCACCAGCAAAACCACAATTGCTTTCCTTAATAACATGGATCTGAAACTCTATCATAAAAAGCAGAAGCTACAAGCAGACACTGTACTAATGAAGAAAACAAAACCCTGCGGGTGGAGGAGAAATTCTGGAAGGAAGTGGTCCTCACCCAGGAATACCAGGTTCCTGTAGTTCTGCAACATCACGTCCCTGAACAGTTTCCGCTGAGCTGGGTCCAGGCACGCCCACTCCTCCTGAGAGAATTCTATGGCCACATCACTGAAGGTCAACTGCCCCTGAAATTAAAAGAAAAGCATTAATCAATTGACCATGGGCAGAGGTCATAAGGTCACTCAAAATGAAAAGTTAATAGAACTGGTTTAGACTTAGGACAGTATCTTGAGTTATCCAACAGCATCACTTTGACATTAATATTCTCTAATGTATTTTTAGAAAGGAAGATGGCATATGATCCACAAAACCATAGTATAAGTTTTACTTTTTTGAAAGATAAATTTTAAAAATACAGGCATCAACACACGCATATCCATTTTTTAGTGCTATGTTTGAATCACAGAGGATCAACTGTACATATTTCTTAGCTGGAGAAGTCATTCTGAGTGAGCAGTGTAGCACTTTTAAAATTTTAATGAGCTTCTTTTCCAAGGAAACACCAAATGGCGGATGACACCAGGGCAGAATAAGAGGTCTCTGGGGTTTCCATGGAGGATTTGGCAGTGGCATCCAGGGCCAGGGTGGCCGCCGGGATCAGGGCAGGGGCTGAAACCGCGTAGCTCATGGAGGCAAGGCTGAGGGCAAGGAGTGGATCCCTGTTACCAAGCTGGCCGCTTGGTCAAGGACATGAAGATCAAGTCCCTAGAGGAAATCTATCTATTCTCCTTGCCCATCAAGGAATCTGAGATCATAGACTTTTTCACGGGGGCGTCCCTCAAGGATGAGGTCGTGAAGATTATGCCTGTGCAAAAGCAGACACGTGCTGGCCAGAGGACCCAGTTCAAGGCATTTGTCGCCATTGGACATTTTGGTCTCTGTGTTAAGTGCTCCAAGGAAGCAGCCACTGCCATCCGTGGAGCCATTATCCTGGCCAAGCTCTCTATTGTGCCCATGCGGCGAGGCTACAGGGGAAACAAGATTGGCAAGATCCACACCGTTCCTTGCAAGGTGACTGGACACTGTGGCTCTTTACTGGTGCGCCTCATCCCTGCCTCCAGGAGTACGGGCATTGTCTTGGCCCCTGTGCCTAAGAAGATGTTGATGATGGCTGGTATTGACGACTGCAATACCTCAGCCAGGGGCTGCACTGCCACCCTGGGCAACTTCGCAAAGGCCACCTCTGATGCCACCTCTAAGACCTACAGCTATCTCACCCCAGATTTCTAGAAAGAGACTGTGTTCACAAAGTCTTCCTATCAGGAATTCACTGGCAATCTTGTAAAGACCCCCACCAGAGTTTCTGTGCAGAGGACCCAGGCTCCAGCTGTGGCAACCACATAATTTTATACAAGACAAATAAAGTGAATTAAACCTGCTAAAAAATAAACAAATAAACAAACAAATAAATAAAATTTTAATGAGTTTTGGGTGGGGCCTGAATTTCCATATGTTTAACCAGCTCACCTATAACTATGGATGCCAATGTGCTGGGACATGTGCCGTACCTTTGGATAGCACAGAAGAAAAAAACACAGGAAAAAAATTCATATACAAGATTTTGACTGAACAATTTTATGGGCTTTACAGGTCTCATAGATTAGTAAGCCCATCAACCACAGTTGTTTTAACATTTATATATTAATTAATAAATCTCAAAAGTATTCAAAGAATAATAACATTCTGGTTCATTTTTAAAAAAATGTCTTTATTGATTTTTAGAGAGAGAAAGGGGGAAGGACAAAGAAACAGAAATGTCGATGGGATAGAAACATCAATGAGCAGACTCCTGCATGCCCCCTACCAAGGAATGAGCCCTGAACCCGGGCATGTGCCCTAACCCGGGAATTGAACCAGTGATTTCTCAGTGCATGGGTCAACGCTCAACCAAGTGAGCCTTGGCTATTCATCCTTTTTAAGGAAAATATTTTGTAAGATATCCATAAAATGGTAGAGCCTGGGTGTTATTCCAAACTTTACCTTGAATTTGTCAAAAAGATCACAGACCAATCCTGTTCTGCACAGCAGATGTTACAGACATACAAAATGTAAAACCTACATGTCCGTTCTGCAAACACCATTTCAATAGGGAACTCGGATATCAATGCCTTCCCATGTTGAACTGTGGCAAAGAAAATGTTTTGAAAAGTTGAAGATAGGGGTTCAGAACAAGGCACCCTAAGATGTGCTTCAATGGTATGTTGAGCTGAGGCATCAAGACCTTTGGGTTCAAGAGAAACTTCCTCTCTCCACCTGAACTACCTAGAAGAATTTCAATGATGAGCCTGACTTGTGATATAGGTTAAACCAAAAATGACATTTGAACTACCTAGATGGTAAGGAAACTAGTATTTCCTGAACATGTGATTTCCTGGCAACAATATTCTAAAGTCCCAAGGTGCATTACCTCATCCCAGGCTCAGAATGTTTTATTTGCTAAATTTCCCTTTCAGTCTTTGAACCTCTCTTGCATGTGGGGTCTCTGACTCTGTCCTGTGTGTGCAGCTCCCATACATATCCCCTTTCTGATTAGGCCAGCTGAGAGAACCTTGAAAGTAGAAGAAGGTACCTTCCTCCCACACAATGGTCATTAACTTACGGTGAGATTCCTATGGGGGACTTGGATGGACACAACAGACAGAAAGCTGTGGACAAAAACGCAGAGGTAGCTGACTTTATCTCCCTCCTAAAGGCCTGCTTCCTTGCAGATATTGAAACTACTCATGTACTTGAGCAGTTGATGAAGGCTTGACTGG